ATCCGTTTGCCGAGTACTTTATCGTAGGCGCATGTACGCAGGTTTATTTTCATAAATTCGTAGAAGGAAGAAAAGGAGATCGTCGTGCTCGTCCACCTGGTTAGCGCGAAATAAACCAGAGACTGCATGCACTGTTCGTCTATCGCGGTACAAGATAGGAAGCAGGAAAATGGACAGAACGAACGGGCGTATACGCGTAGTTACAAGTGAGCTAGCAGTTAAAGCCAGTAGAATTTGCTTTGCTCGAAGTCTGACTCGTATAGAAATCGATTTCACGCCTAGAGCGCGCGCACTTCTATTTGCTTTCTACGCGTTTCGCAGACGGACCCGTGCGCGTTGGATCATTTGCACCAAAAAAAGTATACACGTATTTTTTTTTCTTCTAATTCTTTGTCTACTTTTTCGTTCGTTTCGTGTCACGTTTATATTTTTCATTTCTTTTTATGTGGTGTACACAGTTCCCGGAAACAGAATTTTTCATTTATTTACACTTCGAATTCATTCCAAGAAGAACGTGGTTAACGCGTGGTAGTTGAACATTTATCAATCGAGATCGACTTTTATTTCAATCGAGCGACGAAGAAGGTTTTGATTGCACACGATTCTCTTCTTTATTATCGTAAATGTTTCCAATTGTATGTAAATCGCTCTTAAATCGCGATTATTTTTTCTCTGTCAGAGAAAGAAAGCGATTATCGTTGACCGTGGTACTAAACGTCTCCAACGAAGAACCAGCATAATGGGATTTTCATTTTTATTTGGTAATTGGAGTTATTGGGTACTTGAAAAGTTTCCTATTCTCTCTCTCATTTTTTCCTTCGGTTCTCTTCAGATGTTAATAGAAAACTTTTTTAGTCTGAAATAATAAACTTGAAACAGTTTTAACGCGAAAATGTCGTCTCGTTCTCTTCCGCTCTTGCGCATTTATACTTTTATCTTTTTTTCTTCTCCTTCTCACCTCTTTTGATGCACGCTGTTACTTATCAAAATATATATGGTGAAAGAGAAGGAAGATTTTATACGAAATTGGAGCTCTTGGTTCATCCTAAACTTTAATCTACTTTTAAAGGAGGGTACGCGCGGAATTTTATACCCTGTCAAAGTCCTCAAGGCCTTCGAATTCTTCCAAGTTTCTTCGACAAGTGTACTACATATTCGAATAATTCATTCTTCACGTTTAATTTATTCGAAAATAATAATTATTATGTTACTAACATAATTTATACTGCTTGATAACTGATTTGTAATCAAATTCCATTTCTAAATTATTCAGAACTGTGTCATCCAGGATCATAACAAAACATCTGACAAATTATACATACGAACAATTAGTTAAATATGATATTCACAAATCTTGATTATGTATTATAGGTAAACGTCTCAATAATTTAAGATATGATAATATTTGATAGTGCATCGATGATTTAAACGGATTAGACATAAATAATGCAAAAGACTAATCCAGCTAATTACACATATCCAGTTAATTACACAGTTAATATTTAACGACGATTTATTGATTGATCGTTCTTTTGTTGTTTTATCAATTATCATCGCGCTAATACACAACTGTTCATAAATTAAATTAGGGATGAAGTGTCTAAGCTGTAATTAAATTTCATTCGTCGTATGATTTATCAATTTGTCTTAATAGTAACGAAATTGTCGACTTTCGACGGCTTACCACCTGCGTCCTGAGTAATAAGAGAAAGTCATGAGAAAAAACGTGAAACGCGAAGAGTGCACGTTCAATTTAAGATGCTCAGGGATCCAGTTTATCCGGATACCGTTTATCTAAAACGGTGATCGTCCGAATACGGTTTATCCGAAGTGGTATACGGGATCTTTTCTACCAGTATGTCGCGCACGACCTTGCCTTGTATCGAGCACACGTCCTGTGGAAACCTCGAGCATACATATGTTACACTTATCGATTTAATGGAATGTCTAATACTTGAATAATTTTTATTTTTGGCTAAAGAGTGAACGAGATGCTGTTATTAAATGATATGTTGTTGCAAGAAGCAAATGATGAAAGTGATTTTTAATGAATTGCTTTGTCAAATGCGTCCTTAGAGTCAGGAAAAGAATTTCCCGCGATACAATTCAATATACTATGTAATTCTTGCTCATACAGAGAACCGAATTTCTGGAAATTTTTGTGTACGTGTTTCGATAAGACGCTGCTTTACATTTTATTTAGATTGACCTACTATTGCTGCATTAGAAGATTGCTCTAGCGTATTGAATGATCCGGGAAAACGTACCAGAATATGTAGGACATAAATGCTTGGACCTCAGTAGGAAGTTCTATTTTCAATACATTCAAATTTAATGTCTCGTACTGCCTTTTACGATATTGTTGTACGGTGAATGAGATCGAGTTAAATGCAAAACAATTTTCTACGAATATTATTCGAGTTGCTTAATAACTTATTATTCCTGGCCAATATACTTTCTTCATCTTTGGCAAACGGAATTTCACGGAGAGAAGGATGGTTTGTCAGTAAAGCGAGATAAAACGTGATAAATCTAGTCGTCCAGATTTAACTAAAAAAAGCGGGCAACATTTAACCCCGTGTCGGCCGAAATGATATCGGAAATATGAAGCATCACGTTTCCAATTGAAACATCGCCGCGTATTACGATGTGTATTTTGGGGAAAAAACGTTTAACAATTTGTCCGGTTATTCCGGGTTTGTGACTGCAGGTCACATGCATCATTTCTCGTGTACGCAGTGTGCACCCAGAACAAATAGACGTTCGATTCAGCGTGCACACAGCATAGGTACTATGGTAGTACGCGCATACGAACCGGGTCAACGTTTCGATTAACGTTCATCAAACAACGAACGAACGCATCGTCCGTTCATGACAGTAATCATTTCTACGTTGACCGATTTTTTAACACGCTTCACAAGCTTTCAAGTAATGTCTAACGCTCCCTATGCTGTTTCACCACTCGCGAGATGTCTATAGATTTTCACTGTCGAAAAGCTTAAACCGTAGTACCTTTTACAAGATTGGTTATTTGGTTAAGAGTCGTAAAATAAAAATGCCAAGAATTTAAAAGTGAATCAAATTATTTCCTTATTTAATAACATTTAACATTTATTAACATACATTAAAATATTAAAAGATTAACGTATAATTTAAAACACCAAGATTCTAGATTATAGTATTTTGCTTAGTACCGTTCCCAAAGACTAGACCTCGAAAACGTTACCAACCCAGGTCTCACCGCGTGGAGGTGACTACATTCGAGACCCGAGCAGTGGACAATACCCACTGCCCTATTCCCATAAAAATTACCACACTATTACCAAGCGAATATTGGAGGAAGATTTATTCAGCTGCGAACACTAAGTCTAATTATAGTTCTAGAAAGAGTAGAAATCCTATTAGAGAATAGACAGTAACTGCAACAGAATAGCCATCGTCATTATAAAAGGCAGGTATATTCACGAATCCCAGAACCAGAATCGATATAAAAATGAACAGAGGCATCGACATCATAATCGAAACCATAATCATCATCAGATTTCGAATTAAAATCAGAATCACAATCGAAATCAAAATTGGAATGAGAACCACAATCATAATCAAAATCCGAACCAGAATCAAAGGCGAGATCAAAACCACAATCGTAAACCGTATTCGAATGAAAATCAGAATTAAAGTCGACATCGAAACCATAATAGGAATCAGAATCAGAATTAAAATAGGAATCCGGATTAAATGATACATTGTGCAAGTCCCCATTTATTAAAGTTGTAAATGAATGTGGTTTTTATACGTTTCAAAACTACGTCTTCGTTTTGTTATAACAGGGCCATTTACCATTCGTCAGAGATATACAGCAATGATAAGTGATAGTGAGTAAAAGTGATTGTTCAGTGAAAGATCATTATTATTATTCATACTAATCGTAAATTATTAAAATATAAATGCACGAAATAACTTTTCTAAAAGAGAAATATCTTTTGGAAAGCATTACCATAGTGCATGGTTATTAACACACAATGGACCCGTTTTTACTATACAATAATGCATTTAGAGATTCGAACTGATCGTAAATGCTATTTCGATACGAGATTTTCTAACGGTGTGTTGGAGTCTCACAAAACAGGAAACAAAAAAAATACAATGGTTGATGGGTCTACTCGTATACTTAACTGGTCCGTAGTTTACGGTGCCGCTTTTTCTCACCCACCTGTCGGTAGTGTCAGTACGTATTGAGTCACGGGATGATTTGCTTAGGCTTGCATTCTGTTTTCTCTCGAGGGTACAATACTTATCAGAGAGACATCGTTTATGAATCACTGTGGCAAGCTGGATACTTACGTGAATTATATCAAGAATTCTTCGAAGCAGATCGGTGACTATTGGATACTCTCAGATTAGAAGATATAGGAGGTTCGGCCTGAAGAACTGAATTATTTTTATTAGGTAATATAGAATTCACAGAATCATCGTTCGAAAAAATACGTCTTAATCAGCTGAAATCATCCTCTCGAGTTTTTAAAAACTAATCATCTAAATATCAAATTTTAAATTCTTTTTAAACTTTGCATAAATGTACTTGAAAACATTCGGAAGAAAGTCGTATACAACATGAATATCTATGTAGAGCGAATTTGACGTTCGGTTCGCATGATCGTCACGAGCTCGCCTTGCGGCTTAGTCGCCGTCTAGCTTCGTTCTACTCCTATCGGACAGTCTTCTCCTTCGTGCTCTTCTTACCCCTCCTTAGTTTCGGCTAGCCAAACCATCCCTACGGCAGCACTTTATTCCAACCTCGGTTCCAACGCGGTGTGGGTGGACGCGCGGGTAGCTGCGCAAGGGGTGATAAAGGAAAGGTAGATACCGCGGTGGGGGTGCACAAGGGTTGGTGTTGGTTAGATGCGGAGAGGGGCGAAGGGACGAGTGTGTTTCTCCGCGAACCCCTCCAGCCCCCACCCTGGCCGCACGGGCACCAACGTCAAGCGCTTTCGAAACGTTAAGGCCGACACTCGTGCGGTGCACTTCGGCCCGACGACATCGGCCACAGTCGTAGACACGTGCGTTTGCGGCCACCCTTCGCAAACGCTTTTCCGCGGAAGTTCGAGCAGTGACGCGCCACGAGTTCTTTTCGTTTGTTCGGTTCGTTGTGATTGTTAATAACTGACATCACTTTCCGGGGACGTTTAGTTTTATAAATCGTACAAATTCGCTTGAGTTCGTCGATTATTCGCATTGCGATTTTGTTCGAGGGAATAAAAAACGCGGAACGTACTTGTCAGCACGTGGTTTTACGAAGGAACAGATATTTGTGGCGATGTGTAAGTTGCACCGCGAGGAAGGGTGAGAAACAAGTGTGATCTATGTAAATGTAAGTGACACACTGCGGCGTGATATATTTCGGAGAAGGTTCGAAACGGAGTTCCTCGATGCGCTCTTCCTTGGAGGGTGCAACCTGTACGCGGTGGCAAGTCGACGATCTCTGACGAAAGCTCGTGCACAATTTTAGAGCACGTAGTAACGGAGTTTGTAATAAGAGTTAGAGAACGCGTACGCTGAAGAAGTTTGTCGATCGACGACCGGCTGGTGGACAATGAAGTCTTACCTCATCTTCGTGAGTATTAAAAAGAATTCCTTTTTACTATCAGTATCAGTGCAAAGACCGCTGTGAAGCGCCTGATTGGAGTGTTTCCGGATAAGAGCGTGTGCCCTTTTTCTCGACGCAGTCCCTTTGCTTCCTTTCGAATCTCCTCTAGCTTTTCGTCTAGTTCGTCGTTTCCTTCCTACGCTTGATTGTTGTTACTCACAAGTTGGCAGTGAAAGCTAGGCTGCATTCTCCGGAGAATTTGTCATCCTCTAACACGCGGAAGCTCGTTGTTTCTTAATTTCTTTCTTGCTCCTTACCCGAGATCAAAGACCAACAACGTCGCTTTAATCTGCCAATGACGGAATGGCGCATCTTTCCTCCTATATCTAACGCTGTTTCTTGCCTTTGTCTCCTTTGCGCTAAATCCTGCTCTGTCGTATGGGCTACTATGTCCTGACTTCATTCTCTTTCTCTGCCTTTCTTCGTCTAGTTCATCGTCTTATACATAGTCCAAAGGCAAAATTAACAGAGAAACCACGTGACTCACTCGAAGAAGGAACGAGGTCAACCGGTGCACGCGACCCTCGCCAATGTCGATTTCGAGACTTTTCGAGGCTTAAGGGTTCCATCCGGAAGTTTTACGAACGGAATTCAACCTCTTCGCAGGCCACCTGAGACCTTCGGACACGGTCGTACCGTCACTCGTGTTCATAAAGTTTTAAGCGACCACTTGGAAAATTGATTCGAACCATTGACAATAGCTTTTTAATTTCGCATCGTCAGTATCGAATTAATAACGCTTAACAAGTATTAATTCGTCGAGAAATCTGTGCATGAAATATATAATTTTTTTGTGTCGCATTCGGTCAAAGCGCTTAAAGCGCATCTAGAGTTAAAATGTCAAATCCCAAGTACTTATTGAAATTCAAAATTCGAAAATGCTGACGCATCCAGACAAATGACGAATTTTTCGAGCTTGATATTTTGGTCACGAACAAGATATACCCTGCTTGTAATCGTCACGTACACCAATAGGGAACGATGTGAATTCGATCCGCAACCAAATCGCAGTATTACATAATTATTTTTGACATAATTTTTCTTTAAAGCTGCGTTTGAAATTTCATCATAACGCATATTTTAATTAAACGATTTATACTATCAGTTTTAAATCATCGACCGGTTGCGTAACCCAATTAATATTTCAATGTTAAAAAGTTAGCGACAGCGCGTTGAATTTCGCGTGAACAGAATCGCAGCTATTCGCAAGCCTCTCAGTTCTCGAAGAAAGTTATATACATTTCGAATCGTATTGTGCGAATTTCGGGCCATTGCTGTTTGTTGCTGTAGAAACTTGGTCGGAACTTACGAGCAAAGCTTCTCCCTATACAATACGGGGGGGCCGAGAGGAACGAGAGGAGGGAGCTTCTGGAGCGTATCCCGGTTCCGGCAGAGCTTTCCCAAAAGAACTCACTAAAGGTGCAGATATTCTAATGTATGGCCACCCCTCTTGGACACATCTTTACGAATGACTTTGATTTTCGGAGCGGAACGAACGTCAACGTTTTAACGCTTAACACTATAACGCTCGAACAGATCGTTTTTTCCTCTGACATTCTTATCTCTGGGTGAGAGTTCTCCGCGATTATGAATTTTGCGAATCATGCTTATTCAACAATAAATTGATTGTAAAAAAAAACTAGTTCCAATTACAGCGATTAGAATATTGCAATATTGCATAATGAGTTTACTATAAACATAATTTATCTTAATTCATAACTGTCGACGATTAGGTAGAATTGCATAAATAGATGTTTTTGCTTAGAAAGTTGTAATTAGATCAACAAAATTACATTTAATAAGAACCAATTTAATATTATGATGACAGAGCGTAATTTTGTATCGGGGTTGATCATAAGTAAATCCCTTGTTTTATATCTGTATGAATATCTCCCGAGCGCTGCAATCTTTCCACCAAGTATTGAATAGATGTTACTTGTTCATCACCGGAGAGCGTGTCCGGTGTCGAACGAGTAGAAAGTAATCGACTATAATCTTGAAGGACAATGTTCGAAGATCTCTGTTATGGACTTTTCATACTGTGTTTTCCGCTCCCGTATTTCGTCCGGGCAGCGAGCGAAATTCTTGTTCCTACTTTCTAAAAGACGGGTAACCAGTACCGTAGTTACAAATGCAAGGTACAGGGAATAGCGTATAAAAGCTGGGTGACGCTCAACGGACCCGGTCTTCTGTGCGTAACCGAGGATCAAAAGTACAGACCCCTGCTGGGGTCGAGAGCGATTTTTTGGTGGTAGGAGAAACAGATTTTTCTGCTCGTAGTAGTATCGGAGATAACCTAAGTATCGGACTCGACCTTCTCTTATGTGTAGAAAATATGAAATATAAAAATATATGTACGTAATGACGATGAATAATTTCGTCCATAAACAACCGCTTTTCTACAATGGTCACTTGTATCTTGGAATTTTCCCACCCTTTGGAAAGCGCTAGGTTGACAATAGTTTACTTTATTGCCTAGCCGATTTTGCGTGGTCCACCCTACTAGACGAAGCTCGTCGAGAAATCATCTGTTGTTCTCTTCTAACCTGTTCCTCCTTTGCTCTCATTCTTTCTGTCTTACGTTCACGTATACCTGGACGAAAGGGCTCGAGGGATGGTGTCTCAAACAATAGGCTTGGAATCAACACGAGCCAATCGGCCACAGACACCCAACAAACAAACGTTCGTGAGCATTGGCGAGATGAACAGATAATGGAAGCGTGAAGGAGATAAGTCGAAGGGCGGATCTCATGTATAGAATACGTTGAAGCGTGATGAAATAAAATGCTGAAGTGCTTCGTGCGTTAATGATAGCACGATACCAAGCTACACCAGCTCGGCTGCCTAGTTGCTACCCGTGGTACTGCTCAGTTTCTCATATATGGAAGATCTTGACATAAATAGAATTATTTTTCTTGTTACATCGACCATACTCGTATCGAGGACAATCGTGGATAAAACTTACGGCGATACTCTAAACCTTTCTTTGATACATTGCTGAAATAAAAGTAAAATAGCAGAAGAAAGCAGGTTACCTGAAAGCATCGTTTGCTCGACCTATATTCATCTAAGAAACGTAGCTATTCTAGCACATGGCATGAAATATTGAACTATTCTTTGGAAACTCGCTGAAAGTGACCATCTTGCAGCTATTTACGAGGCTGAAATCATTCACGAAACGATGTTTATAGGCCTGTTACACTGATTTAATTTGTTACAAACAAAAATAAATACATTTTACACTTCGTCCCAGTTCACGTCTTTCATTATTTAAAAATAATCAATATAATTTTTGTTATAACAAAAATTCTAATTTTGCATCGAATTCGAATTGCATTGAAGTTTTGATGCAGGAATAACATTGGATATGAATCTTAAGTAGAATCTCGTTATAAGCAGTTTTTAATAGCTGTTGTAAGAACTTTTCGAATCATATAGATTTATTAGATAAGAGGGTCCATCGAATTAAATAAAGGATAGCTAAGATACACTTAAGAACGAGTTTGTAAACCTTGGTACGAACTGCAGAATGAACCAATGGACGTGCCACTCTGATCCTCCTCCGCTTTGAGTTAGTCGCGATCTGTACTACAGCTTCTTCGCGTAGTTCTGCCAGGCGATGTACATCGAGTTTTGGCAGAACCGACAAAGGTTACCGGGTAGCCGATGATTCCGCGCTTTGTCTCCAAACTCCGATGAATTCAGTACCACGTTCGTTTTCTAACGAGCCGGGATGCTTGGACCGCGAGCAGAATTACAAACGGTCAAATCAGCCGTGGAAAACGCGCAAACGACGCGTTTCTCCTCTCCCTGCCGCACAACCTGTTGTCTTGTGCCGATCGAAGTGTCAGTTGGAGCGCGGTAATTAGAGACTCGACGATGAGGATCGACAACGTTACCATCCGACCGTGCCCTGGCAGGTATTCCCGGGGAAAATCGAGATGCGTCGTGCGATTGCATTGTTCGCGCGACCAATATCGCTGCTAGGAATCGAACGTTGAGCGCGACAACTTTAGTCATGAATTTCTCTTACTTCCATAATGAGATGACACCATGTCTATAATAATTACGGGTCATATTCATCATATATGTCGTAGTCATGTTTGCTTTGCATTTAAAATCGATATTCGTGAGTCAGAACTCGAACGATCTTTTAATTACTTTAATCCGTTTTTATGCTCACATGTTTGGTAATTCTTTCATACAACGCGCTAAATTGTATAGAAACTGTGAATGCCAGAAATTTGCAACGCGACGCAATTGAAATTTTACGTGCAACCGTGGGTGCAATCTTGGAAGAGACACGGTGCCAGCTAGGGAATAACCATGATTCGTGGAAAGTTGATTGGCGGCTTCTAATTAACGACTTGGTTTAACAACTGAAATCGGGATTATTGGTAATACACACGACGTTATGTAAAGTAACCGTACATCAAAGGCCTACAGAGCGACTTGTGTTCGGCCGGGTTCTAGTTACACGGTCGCCCATGGGAAATCTTGGGCGAGCATCTCTTGCAGCTTGCTCGCGAGGCATAAGGAAACATTCTATAGATCTGTCTTTACGAGTGACTGGTGCACCGAGATCGGTAATGGCTGCTAGAATCTCTGCGGAAGTCTCTTTGGACTAGACCTCCTCCCTTCTCGTTTGCGTGTCGAACACCGAATGCATTCCAGTCTCGTGTCCTAGTCAATTGAGTCTTTTGATTAAATTTTCTCGATGCCCACAGGTAATTTTCTCGTACGATCATCGTTTTAGCTATCTGGTGCATATTCGTCAGAATTTAATAAGAATTCTTTTTATAAAAGGGAAAAGTATTAAAAGTATTATTTTTATTATTATAAAAAGTATTATTGTAATTAGGTGTTTACAGTTCATATAATATTCACAATATTCGGTCTTATCTAGGCTTTTATTTAAAAATCCGACTAGAGTTCAGTTTCTTTCTGCAGTATCTAGTTAACATACC